CAGCCTCAAAGCCGTGGCTTGAGTGAAAACCAGATGCTGCCGGACAGCCACTGAAAGTTGTGCAAAGTGGCACAAGCCATGCACAGAGTCTCAGAAGCCCTGTAAAACAGACAACCTGAGAGTGGTGCTAATTGGCGCGAGCCTTGCACAGAAGTCTCAGAAGCGCTGGACAACGGACAACCACTGAAAATGGTGCAACTGGGCGCGAGCTGCGCACAGAAGTATCCGAAACCCTGTACAACAGAGAGCCACTGACAGTAGTGCGGATTGGTCGAGCCCAGCACAGAAGTTTCAGAACCAACTGTCGATCCTTCTTCCGATGTTCCTCAAGTGTTTTTCAAGGATTGGGGTCTCTCGCGGGCATCGCCCTCTTGGGGGCCTCTCTTCTTTTTTAGTCCGCCGTTGACGGTCGGAAGAGGACGGCTGGCAAGGATGCTAGGTCGATTCGGCGAGCTTGAATGGCAACCAGATGCACAGTGGCACAAGCCATGCACAGAACTCTCAGAAACCTGAAGGTGGTGCTGGCCCGGCCCCCGGCACGGACATATGTGGTCGAGGTTCCGGCCCCGGGGCTCTGGGGCCTGGTCCCCCGCTAAATGTATACTAGAACCATCGCGCGCGCTCAAGTTCTAGCTAGGCTTGATCGGCCAACTCATGTACTCTCATTTGGGTCGTTTATTGCGTCCAGGGGCTCCCTTGGAGGCCCTGCGCAAACCTCGGAATCGTATAGAAAGGGAAATGCGGAAACGCAGAAATCATTTGTTTCCATGAAGTACTCAACGATTTGGGGCCCTCAAAAACTTCTTGAGTGTTTTGGGGAGGTGTGGGGGTCTGAATTGTGGTCTGTTGTGCAAGAATAGACCGGGGGCCAAACTTGAAAAAAAGGAACTGTAGGATTTCCATGTTTTTCCAATTCTTCGGCGCTGTTCGACGCTGTTGTTTTGTGCCTCGCGGGTTTTGTTAGCCGGGCCCCTCAGGGGCGTTGGATATTCCGGACCCCCTGGGGGTTCTGGAAGCCTCCCGACGGCCTAGAAATCCGTCGGATGGGTGTCTCGGGCTGCGCGGGAGCGTGTCGGGCCGTTCTTTACGTTTTGGAAGTTTTTTGGGGTCGTCCTCGATTGTCCTTGGGCGTCTAGGGGGCTCCTCGAGAAACCGGGAGGCGCAATACCGGCCAGTTGTCCTTCAAGGGATGCGCGGGATCTCCGAGTCGGAGTCCTACTTTGAATTTAGCCGGGCGAAGGACCCAACCATATGCAATTGTGAAAACCGCAGTTGTGAATATCATCTTCGCTCGCGCTCCCTACGGGGCCACGAACCATGTGAGGGGGCGCGCCGAAATTCGTGGCGGGGTCCACAATACGAGCAAAGACGGTCGGTCTGAGTGCGAGAAACTGAGAGCGGGTGAGCCTGAGCGCGAGTGAGTCTGAGTGTGGATGAGTCTGCGTGCGAATCAGTCTACGTACATGATGTCGACGCCCATGCCGGCACGCTCCTCACGAGGATCGCGCCCGCTTCCTTCCCTTTCTTTTTCTGCCTCTTTGCCCGTGCACGCCGATGTCCATGGCTGCGGGCGCGGCGCCGCACGGAGTCCCCGCGACGCACCGTGGTCGCTCCGAAAGGGTCCTGGGGACGCGCGCGGGTCGTCCGTTGCGCGGAGCAGAGAGAGCTAGCTGGCTGGCTGATAGCGGGCAAGGCTGTGGCCGCTGGGCAGAGCGACGAAGGGGGCGAGCGAGGCTCTGGGCAGAGCGCAGCGCGGAATTCCCGCGACGCGCGCTGGTCGCCCCGAGAGGGTCCCAGCGACGCGCGCGGGTCGCCCGCGGCGCGAGGCCAAACAGTTAGACCGTCGAGAGACGGCGAGGCTCGGGCGGGCCGCTCCTCAGGTCAAGCCTCGCGGATAAACTCGGCGATTTCTGATGGCCACGGGGCCCGAAAGCGGCCTCCATACGCCGAAGACGACGAAAAACCTCCAAAGATCGAAATCCGCCGCCATGCGGACTCCGCCACTGGGCCGCCATGCGAACTGCGCCACTGCGACCTTAGGTGGAGCCCTCTATGGCCCTATGGGGCCACGAAACGTGTGAGGGGTGTGCCAAAAATGGGGCGGGGCCGCCATGCGAGCTGCGCCACTGGGACCTCCGGTGGAGATCCCTATGGGGCCACGAAACATGTGAGGGTGTACTTAATGGGGCGGGGCCGCCATGCCAGCTGCGCCACTGGGACCATATGTGAAGCTCCCTATGGGGCCACGAAGCGTGCGAGGGGTGTGCCAAAATGGGGCGGGACCGCCATGCGAGGTGCGCCATTGGGACCATAGGTGGAGCTCCTTATGGGGCCACGAAACGTGTGTGTGGGGTGTGCCAAAATGGGGCGAGACCGCCATGCGAGCTGCGCCACTGGGACCATAGGTGGAGATCCCTATGGGGCCACGAAACGTGTGAGGGGTGTGCGGGCGGGGCCGCCATGCGAGCTGCGCCACTGGCACCTTATGTGGAGCTCCCTATGGGGCCACGAAACGTGTGAGGGGTGTGTGCCGAAATGGAGCGAGGCCGCCATGCGAGTTCCGCCACTGGGACCTTAGGTGGAGCTCCCTATGGGACCACGAAACGTATGTGGGGTGTGCCGAAACAGAAACATGCGGAGAGCAAAAGCAAGGACGAGGAGGAAGGAGGGGGGGCAGCGGAAGGAATAGATGCGCGGCGCTGTCTCTTCAAAACGAGGACCCAACACCACAGGATGGCTGGGACAAAAATATTGGAATTCCCGTTTTTTTCCCCACAAAAATCCTCGATCTTCGAGGGTGGAAACGGGAACACGTGAGAAGGCGAGAAACATTAGAAAAACCATAGGAAATGCGTGTTGGGCCGTTCTTTACGTTCTGGGGGCTCCTTGGGGTCGTCTTGGGCTGTCCTTGAGCGTCTTGGGGTCCCCCTGGGAAGCTGGGAGGCGCGGTACCAGCCAGATGTCAGGAGATGTATATATAATTTTAAATAAAAATGAATATAAAAAGGGGTGGAAAAAAACTGTGAATTTCTCCGAGGGTTGGAAGCGGGAAAACGTGTAAAAGGCGAAAAGCATGAGAAAAACCATGGGAAATCAACGATTTAACCCTCTTTGGGCTCTCTCGGGACGGCTCTGGCAGCTCTCTTGGGCGGAGGTCTCTGGAAGCCTCCTGCTCCCGCTCTTGGGCCCATTTTGGGCCTGTTCTGGGGTGGTCTGGGGCTGTCCTGGGCGCCTCTTCGGCAGTCTTGGAGCCTTCTTGGCTCGTCTTGGGGCCGTCCTGAGGGTCTCTTGGGTGGTCTTGGGGCGGTCTTGGGAGCCTCTTCGGCGCTCTTGGACCATTGGAAGCTCGAAAACGCGAGAAGCCAAAAACGTTGAAAAAACAAATGAAAATCAAATCAACGATCTTCGGGCCGTCCCGGCACGCCTCTCGGACCTCTCTTGGGGTCTCTTGGAGGCCACCTGGGAGCCTTGAGAGCCGTCGAAGGCTGCCTTGGGCTGCTTGGGAGCGCCTTGGACCATCCTTTCGCATTATTCTGGGGGCTCCTGGGAGGCGTCTTGGGCCCTCCTGGGGCGCTGTGGAGGCTCCTCGGAAAGGCCTTTTGGGCGCCGATTTCGGGCGCTCTTGGGCGGTTTAGGTGTCTAGTGGGCCGTGTTGGCCCCCTCGTGGGCCATCTTGGAGCCCTCTTGAGGGCATCATCGACCGTCTTGGGTGCATCTTGGGCCGTCTTGGACGCAGTGGAAGCCCAAAAGGCGAACACGCCAAAAAGATTAGTTTCCCGATCGGAAATCGACGATGTTTGCTTATTTTGGGCTCTATTGGGGTGCCTCTTGGGGCGTCTTGGGAGCCTCTTTTGGTGTTTTGTTGAGTCTCACGGGGGCTTCTTGGGGCTTCTGGGACGCTTCTTGGAGCCTCTTGGGGTCTCCTGGGGGTCTCTTGGGCCAAAAGGAGCGAATTTCCGGTTCCTCGTCCCCGTCTTGTGCGCCGCCGTGGGGCTTTCTGGGCCGTCTTGGCCCCCTCGTTGGCCGTCTTGGGGGCATCCTCGACCAGCTTGGGTGCCTCTTGGACCGTCTTGGACGCAGTGGAAGCCCAAAAGGCGATCACGCCAGAAATATTAGTTTTCCCATAGGAAATCAACGATTTTTGCTTATTGGAGCTCTCTCGGAGTGCCTCTTGGGGCGTCTTCGGGGCCTTCGGGGGCCTTCTTGGCGTCATGGGAGTCGTCTTGAAAGGCATCCGGAGCCATCCGAGCGCGTTTTCGAGCGTTCCGAAGCCATCTTCGGGCGATCTTGGACGGCCCCCGGCGCTCCGGCAGGGCTCCCGGCGCGCTAGGCCCCACATTTGTGGTCGTGGCTCCTGCCCCCAGCCCCCAGACCCGGTCCCCCGTGTTATATATATATATATATATATATACACATATATATATATATATATATGGATGGGTGGATGGATGGCCGGATGGATGGATGGACCGATAGATAGATAGATAGATAGATAGATAGATAGATAGATAGATAGATAGATAGATAGATAGATACACTCACCCTCCCCGGGACCGGCTTCTCAGTTCGAGCCTTCCTGATGGTCCCGAGGCCCAAAGAGAGCCCCTGGAGGCTGAAAATCGGGGGGGGCGGGGAGGGGTGGCGGTGGAGGTAGGGGGGCACAAAAAGCTGCCGCCGCGACTCGTCCCACAGCGCGAGCGGTGGGGGGCCCCTGCGCCCTCCTCGACGACGACGGACGAGAGGAGCGGAAGGGGGCGAGACCGGCCGGAGCGAGGGCGGAGGCAGGGGGAGAGACGGAGGGAGGGGGGGCGGCGGGGGGAGGGCAGAGGGCGGAGGGCGGAGCGAGAGGGCGGGGCAGCGGGGGCAGAGGGCAGAGGGCGGAGGGAGGCGGGGAGCGGGAGGGGGGGCGCGGGCAGGGAGGGCAGGGGAGCACGGGGGCGGCGGGAGGGGGGCAGCGGGGGCCCGGGCGGGCGGCGCGGAGCAGCAGGCGCCTCTCCGGATCAGTCCGCCAGGTCCTCCCGCGGGCGGGCAGCGGCGGCCGCCGGGAGGGGCCCCGCGGGGCGGGCGCCGCCCCCCCGCCCCTCGCGCCCCCCCGCGCCGCGCGGTGGCCGCGAGGGCCGCGCGGGCGCTGCTGGGGCTGGGCCTCGTGGGGGCCTCGGGGGACGCCCCCGCCGCCCCGCTCCGCTCGCCCGAGCTGCCGTCACCCGAAGCGGCAGCGGTGGCGGCAGACTTGGTTGCAGGCTTACTCCTGGGGCTCCAGGGCCCGTTCGCACACCGGGCCCCCCTCACCGGGGCCCGGTCGCACATACCGGGCCCCCCTCACCCGGGGCCTCTGCGGCCGGCACCGCCCTCTCGCCGCTCGCGCCCGCGCCTCGCTGTGGGCAAGGAGGCAGCGCGGGGAGGGCAGGAGAGCCCAGGATCGAGTCGACGAGCCGGATCGGCGAGCGACAGGAATCGGCTCGGCGGAAAAATCGGCAGCCACATCGGGAGCAGTCGAATCGGCAGAGCTCGGCAGGCTGGCAGGCCTCCACTGAGGAACCGGGCTCCACGTCGGCATCCGAGGCCGGATCGAATCGGAATCGGAGGCCACCGAGATCGGCTCGAATCGAGCCGGAGGAGTCGAGAGGAGCCCTGAGAAGGGGGGGGGGAAGAAGGGGGAGAGAGGGGGGGGGGGAGGAGGCCGCGTCGCCCAGCTGCCCGACGCCCGTGCCTGTCCCGCCGAGCGCGGGCAGGGTGTGCCCGGCGCGCGGGCGCGGGAGCCCAGCGCGCCGGCCTGTGCGCGAGCGCTGGGGGGCGGGGGGCGGGCTGACGGTGCGGGCCCCAAGAATAGACACCATCACCACCCTCGTCGTCCTCTCCTCTTGCCTGGGAGAGGGAGGGGATGAGGGAGGTGGTGGTGGTGCACACCCTCGGGCCCCGTAGACAGCAGAGCGGCATGCACGGGGCATGAGCGTCGCCGGCGTTGCAGCAAGCCCTCCCTCCCAAGTTCCCTCGTCGTCATCATTGCGGGAAGTGCCCCATTGGAGGACGTCCGTCTGAGACTTCTCGATCGTGTCCAGGAACAGCTCCTGGAACTACAGCGCCGCGAATCAACGCGACTACAGCGCCGCGAATCAACTACAACGCCCGAAACCGTGCCAGAACACCATTCCTGCGACTTCAACACCGCGAATCCGCGCAACTGTGAATCCTGAATCGTCCCAGAACACAATTAGTGGGACTCACCCATACGTTTCCCTCAAACTGCTGCAAACTTTTAAGACGAATACGCGCGGCGCTAAGGCGAGAGCCACATTTTGAGAACCCCCCACCCTCCATCCTTGGAACTGCTGCAAATGTTTAAGACGAATACGCGCGGCGCTAATGCGAGAGCCACATTTTGAACCCCCCCACCCTCCATCCCCGAAGCTACTGCAATTGTTAAGACGAATGCGCGCGGCGCTGAGGCGGGAGTCACATTTGATAGCCACCCACCCTCAATTCGCGAAACTACTGCAATGTTTTAAGACGATTGTACGCGACGCTCTGGCGAGAAGTACATTTTGAAAAAAAACCTGCCCTGCATCCTCGAAACTGTCGCACAATTCAAAACGAATTTGCGCGGCGCTAAGACGAGAGCCGTATTTTGAAAATCACCCACCCTCCATCCGTGAAACTGCTGTGCAAAATTCAAGGTTGAGGATCAAATGGTGAAAAGTCTCAGGCGACACCCCAGGGCACGCCTTACCGACACGCCTGGGGGTGCGACAGGGAGGAGTCTTCCGAAGCGGAACCTGGCCCAGAACGGTAACGGATACAGAACGAGCGAATCTTAGACCCCGCCAAGGGAACTCCCAACGAATTAGGCGCGCAGCACCGCGCCTGTCGAGGGACGGGGCGGAAGGAAGGGGGAGACGGGGCAGGAGGGGAGGGAGGAACGGGGAAGGAGATGAAGGAGGAGGGCGACGAGGACGGCAAGGACGAGGACGGGAGGAGGAGGAGGAGGAGGAGGAGGAAAAGGAGAAGGGGGGAGGAGAGAGAGAGAGAGGGAGGCAGAGGAGAAGGAGGAGGCGACGCAGGAACGGAGGGAGGTTGAGAGGAGGGGAGGGGATCTGAATGAACCTGATTGGTGCTGACCTCCTGACCACAGGCGGTGGTGGGAGGAGGCGGAGGAGGAGGAGCGGGAGGAAGGGGAGGAGGAGCAGCAGCAGGAGAAGGAGCAGCAGGAGGAGCAGGAGGACGAGGAGGCGGAGGAAGAGGCGGAGGGGCGGAGAAGGAGGCGGAGGAGAACGAGGAGGAGAGACGGGGAGGAAAAAAAGGGGGAGCAGGAGCAGGGAGGACGAGGGAACATGAGAAGTGACAGTAGACGGGGGAGGACGCAAGAGGAGAATCGCATCGTTGCTCCAAAATCCTCATCCACGTCGCCCCCATCGTCACCACAATACCCATACGCATGGATCATCGATGACAACGGTGATGATCATCATCGTCCTCGTCGTCATCATCCTACCCCCATCAGTTGTCCCATCATCATCCACAGCATCCTCCTCATCATCTTCATCGTCACAATTACCATCGCCATCATCGACAACAGCATCTGCATCCTCACCACCAACACCGCACGCGTCATAATCTTTACCATACTAGTAGATAGTGTCGCTGTCATCATAAAGAACCAGCATCATCAGCATTGCCACCATCGGTCACATCATGATCATCATCATCAGCATCATCATCACCAACATCATCATCATCAGCAGCATCATCATAACCATCACCATCGTAAGTCCTCATTACCATCAGATACATCATCATCACCATCATCTGAATCGTCATCATCATCACCATCCCCATTGCCACAATCATCAGAACCCTCATCGCCACAATCATCGTCGGACGCATCATCATCATCATCATCATCATCATCATCATCATCATCATCATCATCATCAGTGCGATCATCAAACCACCACAAACCATCATCGGCAGCATAATAAGAACCGCCATCTACAGCAGCAGTCACAACTCATCATCAGCACCATCATCGGCACCCTCAACACCATCATCACCACCAGCAGCATATTCATGGACAACACACTCTTCAGAAATTAGCATCATGATCACCAGCACCATCATGATAAATCAATATGATCCTACTCACCAGCATCATCAGCACCATCACTGTGATCATCATAAGTCATCATCATCAGCAGCACCGTTGTTATATTCATCCTGCATAGTCGTCATTACCATCACCATCCATCATCATTATCATCCCATCATTATGACCATCATCAAAACCACCATCACCTTCATAACTCATCATCCTAATCAGCCTTTGGGCTGTTATTGGGGCCTGTAAAGCCATTACATGGCGGCCGACACCACTGTCCACAGAGTCTGCCAATCTGCAGATTGTAGCCCTGAGCATGTAGCCGGCGACAACAACAACAACAACAACAACAACAACAACAAAAATGATTGCGCTATCGAGGACTTAGTTATCCGGGCCCTGATGGGGCAATCGGGCATCGCATAACACTGTTTTTGCAAAGCATTGCATTTCACAGCATTGACACAATGCCAATATCATTGCCATGGTGCGTGCACTCAACACTGCCTGACATAATGACACCAGCGTCGGCCGTCATATGAAATGCCCACGACACCCTGAATTTCATAATGGTTCCTCCGGCTGTGGGGCGGCATACCTCAGTTAGAAGGACCCCAGCGGAGGGGCAACAATGAGGGATGATGAGGGAAGGAGAGCGGGCGTTCGATGATGCTGGTGATGATGTTGATGATGGCTGGTGATGCTGGTGATGGCGCTGCTTCAGCACCACCACCAGTTTCAGCATCACAATAATATCACTGATATCATCGTCATCATGTCATCATCACCATCACCACCACCATTATCATAATCATCGTCAGAAGCATCATCAACGATCACAATCCTCATTGCCATCACCAACATCACCGTCATCGCCATCACCAACAATAACTTCAGCATCACAAATCATCATCAGATCAAACCACCGTCGACATTTCGAGGGAGAATCTGGGCGCGGGTACCGAGCGATCCGCTGCCCCTCAATGGGGATATCATCGCAACGCAACGGAAGTGCCCTACAGAGGCCGGCCAGGCCAACGTCACCACAATCGCCGCCCATCAAGGAGGCGATCATCGCAACGGAGATGCTCTACAGTGGCTGGCTGGGTCGACATCACCATATCCAGGGGGGGTGCGGGAGAGGAGGAAGAGGAAGAGGAGGAGAGCGAGGAAATTGAGGAGGAGGAGGAAGAGGAGGAGGAGAGGGGGACAGAGGCAGAGAAGTAATCCAAAACACCTGGAGCAAAGCAGGCCAACCTGCCATAGGCGAGCCCTTGCGCGCAACCGGGGATTCGGGACACGGGCAAAACTGCATAATTATACAACGATCCGGGCCCAAGTTCCGCGAATGACCACGTAAACTTAAAATACCAACGAACACCATGCAAAGGAGAGAACGAGAAGGAGGAAGAGGAGGAAGAGCAGGAGGAGGATGAGGAGCGGAGGAGGAGGAGGAAGAGGAAAGACAGAAGATAACGTTCACATGATGCGAAATACCCATGACTCGCATCACTGACAAAAATGGCCGGCCCGAAGCCCCAATGCGCGACGACCGCCGCGAACGCCCGCGGGTGATTGGGAAGCGCCGCACTACTGGCGGGCAGGGTGCGCAGCCGAAGAGTGCGCGCGATGCGGCCGTCGACAACACGGCGCAGGGAGGAGGGGGCGGGCAGGAGAAAGGCTACTCCAGATTTCGTAATAGAGGGAGGGGGGTCTCATTTCGGGGGGGGGTCTCTTCCAGGCTATCTTGGAGGGCCTGGGGGGGTCTGCGGACGATGTTTTTGAGGGTTCTCCCACGGGGGGGGTCTGAAATGGCTTGTCTTGGAGGGTCCAGACCCCCTCCCTTTGATTACGAAATCTGGAGTACGAAACCACTGGCCGGCGGGTAGGAGCCCAGCAGAGACTCCAGAGCAGAGTGGCCGC